GTTTAATGCATTGGGGATCTCCCCACTGGGCAATTCTGCAGACAACGCAGCCAAACAAGTCAAAGAGCCCCGAGGAATTCAAACCAAATGCATGTGAGAATCTGTCGTGAGCAACGCAGAAGGGCTTTGTGATTGCGACGTTCAATTCTCAGTGCAAGGTGGAGTTCTGGCACCCTGCATACAAGAAGAGCGTAGCAAGAGGGTTCGACGGCGGCCTTCGAGAACTCGTTGTGACAGAGGGATGGTTCAAGAAATGCAAGCAACTTTCTTCGGGCATTCATCATCACTTCGTACCAGGAGAAGAACGTGGAAAAGTAATGGCGGCGATGCTCGTGCCATCACGGTTCAGGAGATGCTCTCAATGGACGAAAGACGATGTGCTAGATGTGGGTGCAACTTTGCTAGCAGTACTCAGGCGCATGGACCAATCTGAGGAAGCTCTCGAGCTCGGAGGACATGCGTTCGACCTCGCCATGGAGGCGCATCTTGCGCATGTGGATGGTGGAGCAGCAGCATAATATGGAATGCGCCAGTGGTTGCTGACCCCATGCCCGTAGATCCAAGTTTCTACCGCAGCTCGATTGCGCTTGCGGTTGCACGCGTTGCGACAGCGAGCATCCATGCAGGACAAAGCGTTTCACCCGGAATTGCAGCGAAAACTTGCAGGATAATTTGAAGCATGTGCAAACATATTTCAGGTTACGTTGCCAATGATAGCATCTCGCAGTGACTCTCGCAGCACGTCTCTGCAGCAGCGCTCAGACAATCAAACCACTTCTAAAGTAGTAGTGCTTTGCTTTTGGTCATTGACCATATACTGGCTAGGATACAGTAGGCCAAGTCAAATTCAGAAATAAGATTGCAACAATAAAAGACTAGTCAACAATATCAGCATCATCTCATCATTGCACCATTCGGGCAAGGGGAGGTATCACCATGAATATCAGCCTTATCATTCATAGTATGGTTCGTGTTCTTGTTCGTTCGTTTCTAAGTTTGATCATGCGATTCGCGCGCTTCACCTCCGGACACCGTTGCAGGACGCCCTCTGGCGCTCAGTCCTCTCCAGAGGCGGGTTGCTCAACGCGCTTCAACGCTGGGACCTGCCAGCGGGTCTGTTGCAGGAAACCGATCAACTGGAGCTCATCCACAAGGGCCCGCTGCACAAACCCCAACGACGCGCGCTCGCGGGCGGCGCGTTGCAGGAAATCCATCAACAGGAGGTCCTCAGGAGGGCCCGTTGCAGGAAGCTCATCGACGGGAGTGGCCCATGGAGGGCCCGTTGCAAGCAACCCATCAACGCGAGTGGCTCACGGAGAGCCCGTTGCAGGAAACCTATCAACAGGGGATCGCTCCAATGGGCGCGCTGCAAGACATCTATCAACGGGATGTCTTATCAAGCGTGCATGTTGCAGGAAAACCATGAGCGGGGACGTCTCCAGGTGGGTCCGTTGCAAGAAACCTATGAACGGGGCGAGCGCATCATTGCCCCCTGCTGCAGGAAACTTCTCAACGTGGCGGCCTTCATGAGGGCCCGTTGCAGGAAATCGATCAACGGCAGACCTCTGCGTGCGGCATGTAGCAGGAAATGGGTTAACGGGATGGGCTTATAGGGCGCCTGTTGCAAGAAACTAAGCGACGAGAATAACGCCTGGATGGTACATTGAAGGGAACGCATCAATTACATGACTTCGATATTGTAGTGTTGCGCGAAATAGAATAACATGCATCATATTCTAAGATGCCGTTTCAGGAAATTCATCAACGATGTGAGCTCTTGGAGGGCCTGCTGCAGGAAACCTCTCAACGCCGCGTGCGCCCGCGGGGCCCGCTGCAGGAAACGCGCCCACAGGGTCGCGTCCCAGGGGCGCTTGTTTCAGGAAACAGTTCGACGCAGCGCGCATTGGGCCGCCCGCTGCAGAACATCTGTCAACGGAGAGCGGGGCCCGAGACGCCCCGTTGCAGTAAACATATCAACGGATGCCCTCCAGGGGGAGATGGCGGGGTGCAGTTGCAGGAGACCCATCAACGGAGTGGTATCCAGGAGCGCCCGTTGCCAGAAACAGATCAACGGCGGGGGGGCCCGAAACGCCCCGCTGCAGGAAAACCGTCAACGCGGGGTCTGCATGCGGCGCCGCTGCAGGAGAACAATCAACAGGGGGGCCCACAGGAGAGCCCGCTGCAGGAAACCTAGCAACGCAGATGTCTCCCGGGCGGCCCGTTGCGCGAAACCCGCCAACGGGGCGCCTCTCAGAAGGGCTCCTGGAGGGCTCGTGGCGCGACGCCTGGCGCCGTCAGTGCTTCTGGCCAGCGCAGAAAGCGTCGCTCCGACCTCACCGACTGCATCTTGCAGGCGCATGTCGCGCCGAACTGTAGCCAGTGCTTGGTTGTGCGGGTCATTCGGTCACTTCAATGTTTTGCTTCCAGATATGCACCCGTCATGTTTTGGCTCGAGTTTGATCGGGCATTTCGCCCAATGGCGCGATAGATTTATTCCATCTGATTCGTTCATGACGTTATAGGTTATCGCGCGCGCGTTTGCAAGTGCCACCACAGGTGCCGCGGCTACTCTTACCAGCGATCAGCGCGAGGGCATTTTGTCGATGCATCCATCATTCGGTGCCGCCACATTCTCGAGTTGGTTATTTGGCGAGCCTCTTCAATGTTGTGGATCATGCGGTTCAGTTTTCAGCCTGGGCGACTCGCAGCACAGTCGAACATGTGAAGCACATGTTGTCTGGAACACTTCTAAAATTTGCGTTGTCAGCTGCGTCCTCAGGCGTCGGAGCTCCGGAGACGGCCCTGCGCGCAATTGTGCAATATTTGGGCACTGGAGCTCCAGGGCGCACTCATTTTGAAATAGAGTGGGATCAAGAATGTAGACGAGAGTTGGCTCTGCTACCGACATGCCCAACGTGCATTCTCTACTATATAGATGATTTTTTGGAATTCGTCCTTGGACGCGCGTTCTCGGTGGTCTCTGGAACAATATGCCGAAGCGATCGTTGCTGGGAGCTCTATTTTGCGAAAGGGAGTTTGGCGTGGGCCCCGCAGCAGCTATTCTTGCACGCTCTGCTCAGCGACTTGCGCGGTCGCCGGTGCGCCTTGCCCCGATTGGTCAAGCCAGGGCGCCAGCGAAGGGGTTGAGGGCCAAGATGCGATGGCAACTACGCGCTGGGCAGCAATGCGGTGGCAGCTCGAGGAAGACGTATTCATCGACGAGAATGCACGGCGGTTCCCGCCGTCGCTTGCTCTTGGATGCCCGGCTGCAAGATACGCCACGCAAGCCGTTGTTTGCAACCTTACAGATCAATGGTGGCACCATCGACGTTCTCGAAGGATACTAATTGGGGTTCACACAAGAAGAGTTGTCGGTGGAATGGATTGGGGTAGATTCTCGGGTGCGTTCCGAGGAGAACTGGCCACGTCGTGGCGCGCAGACCTTCTCAATAACTGCCGGGAGCTGGACCGGGAGTTGGCGCGGGCTCGGAAACGGCCTTTATCGCTGCGTGGCAGTGGATTCGCCTGCGGGCTCGACGAGATGAGACACAGCGGCATGCCTTGGGCCCAGCAGCTCTGGGGCGACGGCACTCTGCTGCGCAAGATGGAAGCCCTCAAGCCGAAGTCTGAGTTCACGGAGAGCATGACACTATGGGAGCTCATGAGCGCTGTGAAGTGCGAGATGATATGTTCTGGTGCTGATGCATGCGTTGATTTGGGCCAAAGCGCCTACGCGCATACTTCGATGGGGTGGGCCACTGCTGCTCCAACGATCATCCGGAACGTTCAAGTGATCTACGGCATCAGGTTATTCAGATGGCTGGCGCCAAAGGAGCTTCTACTTCTCCAGGGCTTCCCAGCGGGCCCGATTTCGAAGATGCATGGGGAAGTTGCATCGCTCGATGGGCCAAGACGTTGTTTTCGACGAGAGCGCTCTGATTTTCTCAAACAGGCAGGCAACAACATGACCTGCAATCAGATCGGACTGAACATGGTTTGGTGCGTTTTGTTCACGGAGCCAGGGGCGGCGCCAATCTCTGGCACTGAAGCAGTTGCTAGACCCGCTGGCACTATGGCCACTCCGCCCGCCAGCCCCGCTCCCTTCGCGTGCCCGACTGATTCTCCTACGAGAGCCCCCAAGAATTGAAATGAAAAAGCAGCGTCGTTTCTCCGCCGGCCCGCCGGCGCAGGCCCAAGCGCCATTCGTTCGCCGAAGAGGAGGGGCAGCGATCGGGGAGCTGCGGATTTTTCCGCCTGTCAGAAACGCAGCATACGAGGGGCAGACGCAAGGCGCGCAACAAAAAAAACATGGTTCATCTGCTCCTCCTTCGCCACCCCCATCTCCGCCTTTTCGCTGTCACCATCTTCTCCCTCCTCTCCCCTATCCCCATGTCCCATGCTCCTCTGACTACTGGTTCGCCTGCTGCTCCTCTTCCCCGCTCCGCCCCTCCTCTTGCTCCTCCCCCGCTGCCGCCGCTGCCGCCGTTCACCTCCTCGACCCCCCCCCCCCTCAACCGCCGGGGCTGGCTGGGGGGCCCCCAGGCTGCCGGGCGCGCGGGCGGCAGCCGGCGCCCGACAAGACGAAGAGGAGGAGGCCCCCGAGGAAGCCCCCCAGGCCCCTAGGGCCCCCAAGCCCATTGTTTTCCCCGCCCGACGCGGGGGGGGCGGGGGGGGAGGCGAGGGCGCAAGGGGAGGAGGAAACAAAACGCGCAAGGTAGCTCTCCTAACCCCCATCCGTCCTTCGCCGTTTTGACCCGATTTGTCTCAGGCCTTGAGAATTTCGCCTGCGCAAGTTGGCCGAGCGACTCCGCAATTCCCCCGAAGGGTTGCCGCGCAATGATCGTCGCACCGTCTTGCGCAGGAGGCAGAAGAGAGAGTGCAGCAGACAAGCGTTTTGTGGGGCAGTCGCTTGGAGAAGCTTGCCCGGGGTTCTCTGGCAACGAACTCCGAGACGCTGCGTTCTAGGATTACCTTCTTGACCCTGGCAACCCCAATTGCAGGCTCGCTCCCTTCGACGCGCAGCGCAACTCGCAGCAGGCGTTCTTCCGCCGCAAGCTGAACAACAGGAACTTCGCTGCCCACCGCGAGAACCTTGTCCAGAGGCTCTTGAAGCAGGGCTTGATGGAAAGCACCAGAGGGGAAGCGTGGGCGATCCCGTCCAAACAGGACACGATGGTTGCTGGCGAAACCGACCGCCGGACGATGCCCCTTAGCCGCGCCACTACGACGGAGGCGGTCTACGAGGCGCACCGTCGCAGGCAAGGGGATGGGCATGTCAAGAAAACGCTCCAGAACGGTTTGGCCGCCAAGGTTTTCCACGGGCGTTCGCCAAAGTTCATATCTGGAGTATCTGATGGAGATTCACGACGAGCTCCATTCTGGAGCTCAGACGTCCTTCCTCGGAAAATACGATTACGCCAAGGAGTCGGAGATCGACTGGGCGAAGCATTGCAAGGCCAAGGGCATCGCGGCCAGAAGCGTTCCAACGAAAGGGAACATCACTTACAGGAATACGTATTGGAGGTGGCTCGTGGAGACCCGCAGGTCGTCGCTCAGGAACTGGCCAATGCATTTCAAGACAAATAATTTCGTAGGGGTGATGGCCCCGCGAAAGCAGATCGGGATCTACGAGCAGCTCGCAGAAGAAGAGTGCGACATGGGCAATGCATCGTTGAGCATAGAAGACATGCTGCCCATCGACTACGACCTGTTCGCGTCAGTCACCCAGCTCGCCGACGCGATCCCGAAGGAGCATCTCGACGTCATTTTGCAGGAGGCGCTGAGGCCGGTGCGCCCGGGCGTCAGCGAGGGCGAAGATGGCTTGGTACCAAAGCTGCGACTGGGTCCTCAAGACCAAACGCGACTCGGACATTCCGATCTAGCTGATGAAGTGCCCAATGAGCGGGGCAGCGCTGTACGTTTCCAGCGCCAAGAAAGAGCAGGGGGTGGCCGGCGACGGCGGCGGGGGGAAGATGGGCATAAGGAAGGGCAACGGCAAGGGGGGGGGGGGGCAACGGCAAGGCCAATAAGTGCGGCAAGAAATCCCAGACAGCGGACTCGGTGAACGAGGCCCAGCAGAAGCGAAGGGGCCCGAAGGCCAAGGGCGGGAAGGCGAGCAAGGCCGCCAAGGCTGCGGAGAAGCTCACAGAGGAGACCCTCGTTGACACCGTCGATATCTTCTCGGACCCTCCAGAAAAGAAAGAGGATGCTGCGCCCGTGCTGTCCCCAGCGGGGTCATGGCGGCGAGCAGGACGAGGATGCACTCGCAGAAGCAATGTCTGGCGAGGGGGAAGCGACGGGCGTGGGCGAGGGCGCCGCCGACGCCGCGCTGCCCGAGCCCCTGGCGGAAGCCGCTGCAGGGGAGAGGCCAGTTCCAAGGGGGGGGCTCCGCCCTGATGACACCTACTCCAACGAGGCAAGCGTTGCATCGCAGGTCCCACCAGACCAGATCGTTCGGCAAGCTGTCAAGGGCGCCTACCACAATTCTCCGGCGCTCGTTTGGACCAGGAAGCCCCCCGAGGAGCTTGGATTTCAATGCGAGGAGAAACCTCTGCCGCAAGCGGTTCGAGCTGCCATCGGGGTAGAATGGCGCGAGCTCACGCGGGCCCGGCGTCGCCGCCGACGGCTGCCGAAGCGAATGCGGACTCAGCTGCTGCAGGCGCGGCCGCCGCCCTACGCCAGAAAACGATCGAGGAGTTCAACCGGGAGGCAGTGGACAGGTCGGTGGACCTGCTCGTCGAGCGCAAGGACTGCGTCAAGAAATGGTTGGCCGAGCACCCCAAAATCAGCCCGCATCTCACGCGCGCGGGCTTGCGCAAGATGAAGGATTTGAAGCAGGCTGGGCGGGCCGAGGTGACCGCGGAGGCAATGCGCCCCATCGTATCGGACAGCCTGGTTAATCATTCAGAGTTGGTAGGAATCGAAATCCGCCCATCCTTTCCCTGAGAGGGCTTGGAGGGGGGACTGAGGACGCGAGGGGTCACGAGGAGGGGGGGGGGGGGGAACGGGAGGGCAGGCGGGGGCGAAACGGAGAAATGGAAGGCGAGGAAGAGAAAATGAGGAGGAGTAAGAGGGGGGAAGGGAGGACAGGGGAGGACGACGATGACGATTACATTTTCAGGGGGCCTTCAGGTCGGGCAAGGCCACCTACAGCGAGAACGCTTCTGCTCGGATGACTGCCATTGACGGCCAGGATATCATGCCAGATGGCATCTCTGAAGTGTTCGCCTCGTTGGATTGCGCCGGGCTCTTCTGCGTCGCGGCGCCGACTACGCCATCAACCTTCTCCAGTCGCCCGCAGTGCCGGCGCTGTTCGAGGACGCGAAGAGCAGGCGAGACGCCGGGCGAGGTGCGATAACCTGTTGGAGGTGTTGGGCGACATCGGCGTCTGCGACATGACCAAGACTATCGGTGACTGCGGTGCTTCTGAAGAGGTGCGCTGGTCAAATTTGTTTTCCAAGCTCCTGAAGCACGCATCGGATTCGTCGGCGCCGAAGCAGATCGCGGCGCAGGAGAACTCGGCCATCCAGTCTAGCAAAGCGAGATTGCAGGCGAAATGTGCGCATGACAGGCTGAGGCAACATCAGGGCTCCGACAAGTCCCAGCTCGTGGAGAATGGCAGCCAGCAGCCCGCCGAGCCCAAGACGCTCGAGGAAGATTCTTTAACGGACATGCACAACGACTGATATTGTCAGGGATGAGAATAATGGTGGTGGAATTACTGGTGATGGCGCCCTCAGCACGACCCCTGCGACTATCCGTTGCTCGGTCATGGAATGCCTCGCGCACAGCTTACACAAACGCATTGCATCCCAGAGCTTGCTCGAGCACGCGCCGACCGCCGATGATGGCCACGAGTTCTGCCACTGCGACCCATCGGGCAAGAAGCCAGGTGCCTGGGCCAAAAACCCAAGCAGAGATATCAGGCTCAACATCTGGGGCCCGATCACGCTGATTCCGACCGTCGGCTCGTTCAAGCTCTGCGCGTTCGACAATCTGCCCATCTACGTGCGACCAGGCGTGCTGGACAACAGCCCTTACGTGAACAACTTCTCGCCGGCGTGGCTGGCGCGGACAATCGGGGCGAAGCCCGACGCTGGAGAGGCCGCAGAGAGGGCCACCACGATGCTGGATTTCAAAGAAAGCAGCTTGACTTTCAAGTTCGCCGAGACTCTCCCGGCTAAGGAGCAGACCTACAAGATCGACGTCAAGCTGCCGCTCGTCACGGCGGCTACTGCCGACCCGATCTGCGAGAAGAAAGAAAGCTCCGAGTCGGTCGTCTCCGAGGTGACGCGCATCTGGGGCGACCGCGCCGAGGCGTTCGCCCTCGCCCCCGGGCGCGGGAGGCATGCGACCAACGTGGCGGCGACCAATAAGAAGTTCAAGCCAGCGACCGCGGGCTCGAGTGGCGCGTCGAAGGGGTGGAAGGACATCGCCCTGCGCATCATCTAATGATAAGAGGCTTGAGCCAGGCTCTTTGCGAGGTAGCGCGACGACGAGGGCGGCGGGAGGGGCAAAATGATGATGGGGGGGTGGAGGGCGAGGGTGAGCGCGCACGAGGTTCGCGCGCGCCCGCTTGCACTCGCGCTGCCAACAGTGCCAGGTGCTAGCCCGGGCCATAATAGGGGCCCTAGACCCTCCGTCGCCTAGCCAATTGCGCTGTGTTTACTTATCTACTGTGCGCACTGTACGCCACCCGCCAGCCGCCCCTCCGCCCCCCCCCTGGCCCCTCGCGCCTGAGCAGCCGCTGCTGCGGCGGCGCCGGGCAGTGTTGCGCGATGCTATGCTACGCTATGCTATGCCGTGCTCTGCTATGCTAAAGCTCTGCGCTGCTATGAGATGAAGGTAAGCTAAGCTAAGGTAAACCTGAGCTAAGATGAAGCTTAGCTAAGCTAAAATGAAAATAAGCTAAGCTGAGATGAGAGAAGCAACGCTAAGCTAAGGGGGCGCAACTGCGGGAACCGGGGGGGCGGATCCTGGGGGAACCGCCCGGGGCGGGGCCCACTGCCCGGCCCCTCTCAGCAAAGAGAATAAGAACCCTTCTAGGCAGAGCCTAGGTAGGGAAAAAAAGGAAACATATATGATAAAACAATACCTAAAAACATGAGATCTGGCAAGCACTCCTGTTGTGACAAGGAGTGTTTACCTGATTGCCAGATCTCGCGGTTTCCCGGCTTATATTATATATGTAGTCCCCTCCTAGCCCCGTTAACTGAACAGAAGGAGGGGGGGCCATATTTTGGCGACGACCGCGAGCACAGCCGCAGGCTCTCCGCCCCGTCCAAAAGACGGGGGAACAGAGTTGTGGGGTGGGAGGTGGAAAAAGCGCTGCTTAACCTAAACAGCTGCGGGAGCAGGGGGGAGGAGGGGCGACAGAGCACTACGGCCAGGGGGGAATAAAACCGTTTAGGCGCATGCCAAACGAAACCATATTCCCCCCCTAGCCCCGTTAACTGAACAGAAGGAGGGAGAGCCATACTTTGGCGACGACCGCGAGCACAGCCGCAGGCTCTCCGCCCACGCCCGCCCCGGGCCGCTCCCCAGGGGGATCGCCCTAACGGCGCCCACCCTCCCTCCAAACAAAGATGGCCCTAGGGGTCCGCCAATGAGACAGAGGAGGGGCGAGGGGCAGGGAGCCGGAGAGGAGGAAGGAAGGCGGGCCCGCCATCACCCCGCGCAAAACCCTGGGTGCCAAGCGCACTAATCACAGTAGCGCGGCACCGCAACTAAGCTGCAGCGCGCCATTGCAAAAAAAAAAAAAAAAAAAAAAAAATCCGCCCCTCCGGGGGGCACTGCGGGGCGGGGCTGCGAAAGGCCAACTCCCCGGGCGCACAGGGTCACCACTGCGGCGCGCCGGATCCAGCACCGCACCAACCGTTCCCACCGCAGCTCTTCCCAGGCATGTTGGAGTCGTGAAAAAATCACTACGCCGAGGTAAGACATTGGAGAAAAAAAAAGACATCTGACAAAAATCACGACATGTAAAAAAAACATGACATGATGATGTTGGCTAACAACTCACCAATGCTAGCTCCGCTACCAGTGCTGCGCCTGGCCGCGACAGAGGAGGAGGAGGAGGAGGAGGAGGAAGAAGAGGAGGAGGAGGAGGAGGAGGAAGAGGAGGAGGATTGATTTTCAGTGGCCCCAGCGGGGTATATCGCAGAGCTCACTCCCCGATGGGGCTCTGCGGCCGACGGGCTCCTTAAATCAAAGTTTGCACATTGAATTTTTGATGTGGTGCCCCTGGGGATCCGAATCCCCCCTACTTGTACACTCTGTCATATATGCGCATGCAGCCGCGAGCCTGTTCGAGGGGCCCCTAACTGGAAGCAGAATTTTCACCTTGAATTTTTCGGGTGGCCCTGGGAACCCGAAATTAATTTGTTCTCCCACTGCAGGTCTGTCACATACGCGGGAGGTGCACGACAGACAGCGACTCCGAGCCCAGAGCAAACCGCGGGGACCCACGGACCAAACTGGCGACGCCAAGGTCGGGGACCCACTAGGGGACCCACTGGCGGCCCCGAGGTCGGACCCGAACTCTCGAAAAAATGAATAAAAAAAAAAAACAAAAAAAAAACTGGGAGGACGACGCCGATGAGGACGACGGCGCCCCAGCGCCTATCCTTCGAACAGCACGCCTGAAGGAGGGGTGGCGGGGGAGAGGGGCCGGGGGGGAGGGAAGGGGGGGGGAGGGGGAAGGGGGGGAAAAGGGAGGGCAGGAGGGGGAGAGGAGGGAGGTAAGAAGAGGAGCATGGCCCGCTCCTTTCGCCGCCGTGCCGCTGGCGTCTTCGAGTCGGGGCGCGGGTGAGACCAAGGGAGGTG